TTTTTTGGGCTATTGGTTTTTTCAAAGGATTGGTGCTTAGCCTATGCATTGCAACCGAGGTTGGAATTCTAGGCATGTTAGTTGAGGTCCAGGTAAATACATCCTTGTTTGCTTTGAGGAAACATATGAGCTCCTCTTTCTCCTTCAAGTTTAGTGTTGTTCCAATTTGCATCTTCTTAGCGAGATCACTGCCATCGACCTGCACTTTTTCCACCTCCTCCACTAGGGTAGCTTTAGTCTCATCTTTAGGTCTCTTCTCTAGCAATTCTACACCCATTACTTGATGGTTGCTTGTGGCCTTTGAAAGAGGTGGCTCTAATAACTGAGATGGCTCTGATAGCCAAGGTGCCTCTTTCCAAGGTCGGGCAACTAAGGTCATATAACAATGTCGCTATTTCTTTGTTGCCTCTGAGAGTCGCCACTCCCATAGGTGTAGGAAACTTCATGCAAAGATGAGATTGTGAAATGACAGCTCTAATCTCTATCAAAGTAGGCCTCTCAATGACGATGTTGAAAGACGAAGCCATCTTCACCACTAGGAATCGAACTGAAGGACTTACATATGCCCAACCTGAACCGAAGGCCACATTAAGCCTTATGACTCTTTCCACAGGGATTGACTGGTTGTTAAACCCATATATGGGGCATTGTATTAGTGTAGAAGAGTGGGATCAAGATTGAGGCTTTCAAAACAATGATAATACATAATATTAGGAGCGTTGTCAATATTAATAAGCACAAGTTGAACTTCACAATTATTGACAATGACCGAATGACTAACGGGCCATTATGTGGTGTGACAACACCATCGAGGTCGGTCGAAGTGAAAGTTATAGGTTAGCTCTTCCAATTTGCCTCTTAAACTTCCTTTTTTGAACTCGATTATGATGTTTCACCTCCCTCACATGCAGCTTCCATTGCTTGGAGCTCATCCCTTCGGCTTCAATCCCACTGGTTATCATGTGAATGATGCATGAGGGTGGAGGAAGTGAGGGTGGGGTTTGTTGGTAATCGACTCTGGTTTTATTGTTTGCATCTCGAGGTCCTTGGGATTGTTGCCCCTGCTCTTGCACAAACTTTAGCTGATCTTTATTTGAGATGTACTCATTCAACATCCCTTTGTGAGCTATGCCTTCAAGCTCAAGTGGGGGCCTTTTGAGCTCTATCTTGTTCTTGATTTGTATCAAAATATGTGGCTTAGGCAATATGAATGGGGTCCAAGTGAACTGCTTTGCTCTGGTTTGCGAGGTGTTCGGATTGGGCCTGTTAACTTTGAAAGTAGGAAGTGGACCTTGGTTCTGCACAACCTTGAACATCTTCTTGCTTTGCCTTTCGTTCCACCAGGTCGGAACTTTGATTTCTTTACAAGGTGTAGGCTTGCCAGACAGAGCATACTTTTCAGCTATGATGAACTTACGAGACATCTCATTGGCCTCATCAAATGTGGCAGATGGATGCTTTATCAAGTTGTCTCAAAATCTCTCATGCTTAAGACCTTGGATTATGGCAGCTAGTCCCACTGCTTGGTTGAATGAGCCGATCTCTAACACACCATCATTGAATCTATTCATGTAGTTTTTGAGTGACTCACCTTCCCTCTAAACAACTTGCATAAGCTCAGAGGTTGTCTGTCTTATCAATCGTCGACTTGAGAACTTAGTTGCAAAAGATGTTGCCAGCTTGGTATATGAATTGATTGAGTTCAGTTGTAAGTTATAGTACCAAGTTCGAGCATTGCCATGCAATGTAGAGGGAAATATTTTGCACATTAGGGTATTCGAGGCATTCTGAACCTGCATAACAAAGTATAATGCATGCAAATGATCATCAGGGTCCTTGGTCCCATCATACGTCTCAAATTGAGGCATTTTAAATCCGAATGGTATGGTTCTTGAATGATGTTGGTATTAAGGAGGGTAGGGATAGAGGTTGGATTGGGTAGAACCAGAGGTGGTGTGTTTCGGTTTTCAGCCATCATCTTTTCCAAGTTATCTGACCTCTTGAAAACATCTGAAACAACTGGTTGAGGTGGGTTTGGAGGTGGAGGTGCCATGTAAGATTGTCCTTGGGACTTGCTTTGGGTGGAGCGACACTTCAGATTGGAGAATTGACATTTTATTGAGGCTGGTGATTAGGTGCGCGGTTGGCTGGATTTAGTAGGGTGATGAGGGGTTCACCTAGGTTGGCTTTGGCCAATAGCTGTGCAAGTACAAGCTAGAACACACCAAATTGTTGTTGCATAGTGTTGAGCTGGGTAGCTATGGCGTCACTTGAGACCACTACTAGATGTTGTGGGTTATTCTCTCTTGTTCCTTCTACATGTTGATGTTGGGCAATTGGGGATGGCACTACTTGAGGCATGGGGTTACTATTATGGAAGTGACCTCTTCCCCGGCCTTGTTGAGGACTCCCATGTTGAGTCGAGCATGTGTTAACCATCTTTAAGCATTGAGTAGGCTTTCAGCTTGGGTTCCCACAGACGGCGCTAAATGTTGTTGCTGAGAACTCCAAATCTTTCTTTAGTTCGAATCTGTTCCTTGATTAACTTGCAAAGTCCTGAGGTTGGTCCTCGGGGTAAACACTCCGATATTTAAGTCAACAATAGTTAGGTCTGCTAGAGAGAAGGCAAAAGAGAGCTTGAGATCGGCTTCAATTACCTTTGAGGAGGGACCCTTGGGGGTATTTATAGCCCTCAAAAGGGGTGTCTACATGTTGCTCTTTGTGGACAACCGAGATCATATGTGTCAATGATCGTAGGAAACTTTCCTGAGAGATCTGTGCACGTACGAAGCTACTGTAGAGCAAGAGTGGAGGGGACAAGCTCGAACTCGACTGAGCTCATCGCGCTTCAAATGACGTCAGGCAACTAGAAGATGTTGGGAATAACTTAGCGCGTCTGAAGTGCGCAACCTCGAACTACCATCACTACAAATCTGGCAATCATAAAGAACAATCTCCTGCTCTGTTAGCTGCTCTTCGTCCCCTTCCATTGCAATCTCTAGACTTGAAGCCATAAGATAAATAAATACATAAATAAATAAATAAATAAAATTTTTATAATCTGTGTCATTAACCAAAGGTTAAGCTTAGCGCAGTATAATAGGTATAATTAATATATTTTTTATAATTAGTTTTAATAAAAAATAAAATTTTATTTTAAATAAATAAATTAAAGGTATATATTTAATAATATTAAAATAAATATTAATTTTTATAATTTTTTATGTAAATTAATTATAAAAAATATATTTTTTGTATTTTCAAAAGGAGAGAGTTTAGATAAACTCAATAAATAAATAAAATTTAACACCTTTTTCAGAAAAAAAAAAAAAAAAGAAAAACCAGATGCAGAGAAACCCTTGAAAAACCTCAAAAAAAAATTGAGGCGAAGAACCCTAAATTAAAAGTGGAAAAAGCTGCACTGTATCAGATTGGTCCTAAACAAAACGCCATTATAGAACTTGGGCCTCTGTTAATTCCAGAGGCCCAGATCCCAGTCTACATTATGTTCTTGGAAATGAAAAATGAAAAAAAGAGGTGAACTAGGAAAATAATCTCGGAAGAAGTTTAGGTAGCTGAGTCCTGGTAACAATCCGCTGCTTATTTGCTTCACCAACTAGATGCAACAACTCCTTCAACACCACAAAATTTTCCTGACAAAAACAATCACAGTTGAATATGTAAAAAGCCATTATTTTAGGTTAAATATTAAACAATCTTGTAATTTTTGAAGATAAAAATGGTGGGACTTACTGCATTTTGTAGGTTAGTGTAGTTAAGCTTCTGTTTTCTAGGCATGGTGAGAGGTGATTGATAGATTAGAATGCTTCCCCTCTATCAACAAATCGTTTCAAATATAGATAGGAATGCCAAATGTAGCTTTTCGTTTTCATCATGTTGGTATATTAATAGACCATGCACGAACCTCACTATCAAATGAACCCGAGAAATTTTTATAGTTGCTTAATCATAAATACTGTTAATCTTAAATGGATTAGTGACTATAATGAATTGTGAATCTGGAATGGGTAAGCCGTCATTTCTTTTATAAAACCAATGATATATTAATAATAGAAATTAATATTACAATGTGTCTATGGCTAAACCAAAAAAGCATAAACCATAGTACAAATTATAATCACATTTTAAATTAATCTATTTAATACATCTAAAAGTTAAAAATCAAATGTGGCATAAGATACTAACATGTGATTATAGGGGTAACAACAAAATTATATAGTGTAGAAAAATTATTTTTTGAACTTCTTTAATCACTAGATAATTTTATTTATTGTATCAATTTCAGAGAGAGTGAGCAGCTTGATAATACAATAATCGTCTTCTACTATACTATTTTAAAAATATTATTATTTCACTAATTAAGAGATTGATCTCCAAAAATTAGTACATTTTTTTCTTCTTTTGTATGGTCATAAGATAATTGTAAAGAATGAAGCATTTTAATAAAAGTCTCGAATCAAAATCTTTAAAAAAAAATCCAAAGAAACAAACAGATCACTCCCATAGATCTACCCAACTCATACAAGCGAAGGTATCCACAAAATCACGATTTTGATAAATGATTGCATATAAGGTTTCATTCAATTGGAACTTAATCGAAACAATTGAATAAAAAAGTTGGTGTTGCAATCACAACTGTTAAAAGTGTTTCTTTGTTCCCAAACTAAGCAAAAGGAAAATAAAACGCACCAGCCGCAGGCTTGCCACAACTTGCTGCCTGACGACCGCTACAATAGTTCGCATCAGTCGCAAGGCTTCATTTTTGTTTTATTTATTTATTTATTTTTTTTATGGATCCATGTAGTTAAAGGAAAAAGGGATAAGGAATTGTAATTGTAAATTAGACATAAGGAGAAGAATCGATAGAAAAGAAAAAGAAGAAAGGATTTACAAGAGAAGAAGAGATCCAAATGGAGGAACTCGTTGTGCGGCGCGGTTAGGGTTTTTTCTGCCATGCACAAGAGTGACCGTAGGGTCACTCGTTGTAATTGTAATAATAATTGATGGGTTTGCTAACAATTTAATAGTGAATTGGTTTTGAGTGAGATGACGTATATATGAGATATATCAAGAAATAAAAAAAATATTGTTTTTTAATTTTTTATTGTGTAATTTAAAACAATAAAAAAATTAATTGATTAACTTAAAGTTTTGATATATTATACGAACCTAGCTTTACTCTAAAACTAGTTCGTTTAACCCAATCAACAACTAGGTAATGTGTTTTAATTGTTGAATAAACACATATATAACAACAACAATTAAAAGAGCTAATGAAGATGATTTCACTATAATATCGTAATAATTTATATCAGAATATTTAACAGCAAATGCAATATAAACAATGAAGAGCAATTACACAAAATTTTAATTATAGATATTAGTGGTACTATTTAAATTTTACATTTACACTATTATATCTAAAAGCAAAATCATTAAATGAGAAATCCTGATATAGTCACATGATGTAAAAACAAAATTATCAAATAATTTCTTTTCATCTGTAAAATGTCTTTTAGAGAATTACTAAACATAAAAAAAAGTTATTTTTACGAATATAAAACACAAATGATTTATGTCACATCCATTGCCATTGTAGAATTTTAGAAGTCTAGAAATAGAATCACCTAAATTTGTTGTATGATAAGCACTGTAGTTGAATTCACCATCTAATAAGTACCAGTTTTGGACTTGAAAAGCATCATTTAACCTTCCAAGCAAGGAGTTTTCAAACGTGGCAGTTGCGATCATTTATCCAAGCAAACCAGCATTATTTCCATTCTTAGGTCAGAACAACATTTCCATTTCATAAATGCCTGTAGGCACGCAGTAGATACGTAGGAAACCCCCTCTTGAAGCAACAGTCATAAATTTCAGGATATCTACAACAGCTGTACCAAAAAAATGCTCACTCTATTCCCTAATGCTCAAGAAGTTAGCATAATGTTAGGAAATTAATAGTTACTTTCACTACTGCAGGAATGGGATTTCCGAACCGAACTATCGGTCCGGATATATAGGAAATCGGTCTGAATATATATATCCGGACCGATATTGGTCCTTATAGTTGATCTGAAAAAACCTGGTACGAATAAGTCTAATATACAGACCGATGTAGAATCGGTTCGTATATATACACTATCCGGACCGAAATCGGTCCGGATATTTCAGTAAGAAATATAAATAATTATTGAGAAATTGAAATAAGCGGACCGAAATTGGTCCCAAAAAATAATATAATAAAATAATAAAATATAT